CCCCGCCCCGCCCCGGCCTTCGAAGCCTCTGAGTCCCCTGGCACTTGAAAGAAATAAAAGTTCAGTGCGATTAAAATTCCAGGTGCATTTGGAGCAAACCTAAGAGTTCCGGTTACTCGATTTAGATAAGCGCGCTAGCAGAAGTTCCGGCCGGTGTGCACTGAACTTCGTTCTCTCGGCACTGCCCGCTGGCAGTAGGCACATGTAGTACCTTCCAGGTCACCTTTGGGGTTTCTTAAAGCGCCGGACTGTCATCAGAATCCCCTCTGTCACTAGATGTGCGAACTGACCCTGACCCTCGGTTGCCCATGAAAAAGAATGCTAGCACCGCCCAGGTGAAGGTTCAATCCATTTAAGCGTGAACAAGCCGTTGAGCATTGTGTAAGGTGGTCATTCTGGGCGTTTATCAATTTGAGTTTTCTGTTGGAAGTAGGGAAGATAGAACTTTCCTTGCTAGAGACTAAGCAGCTAACTTCATTTTTATAAAATACATTAAGGACAGATATTTAAACTGTCACACTTTAAAAAAAACTTTTAAAGAGGAGCATAATGCTTTTTTCCAACTTGATTTGTTTGGCGGTTGCACTGTGTCCTGATAAGTTATTTTCACATAATTATTAACTTCAATTAAACTGTTGTCTAGTCCTTTGTAATATATGGGGTACCATTGCTAAAACCACATATGTAGTCAGAACCCTAAAATGTCATCAAACTTTGATATGCCTTATTATCAAATGATCTATGAAAAGAACTGCTGAGTTGCAATGACTTGGTGTGCCCATTGCATAGTTATTGACATTATGATATTATAGAAAATTTGGATTAGTTTATTCAACTAGTTTTTGAACACCTGTAATGTTTAAGGACTGTGCTAGGAGACTACAAATATTGTTTAAAAAAACCTTGGGGGAAGGGGAGCAAAATATGACAGCCTTTTAAGAAACCTTTTTATAATTTCCAATTGTTCAAGTAATGCCTGCTTTAGAGAGAGATCCTAAAAAACAAATAAACATGTTTGCTAAAGGTTGAAGAGCCAGCATTTTGGTTATTAGTGTTAATTTAAGAGTGGTCTAACATGAAACATTGAAATGGATGGAAAGTCTTGGAGGCAGTATAAACTTGTGCAAATTACTTTGTCTCCAGATTTCTCACATATAAAATGGGGATTAGGAAAACTAATTTGTGAGATGGTAGTAGGAATTAATAAAGATGTTATCCGAAGTGACAAATATAGTGCCTATCACGTAGCAGATACTAAAGAAATGATCTAGTTGACAGTAATAGTGGTAGTGGCAGAGCAGAGCCGAGACTGGACGAGGCAATCCGTAGTCTAGGGCGAAAAATTTAAGAAGGCACTGACTCGGGTATAGAGCCAATACTTGCGGGAAGCTGAGGCTGAGTGCCTTCTTAATTTGCTACCTAGGTGCCTTGCTTGATTCGCCCTAGTTCCAGCCTTGGTTGTATGAGCAGATCTGATAATTTATGAAGTGCCTAGATTATATATAATCAGTTTTTTTTTATATGTTTTTATTGATTTCAGAGGAAGGGAGAGGGAGAGTAGAAACATCAATGATGAGAGAGAATCGTTGATCACCTGCCTCCTGCATGCTCCCTACTGGGGATTGAGCCCACAACCTGGGCTTGTGCCTCAACCTCCTGGTTCATAGGTTGATATGCAACCACTGAGCCACACCAGCTGGGCTATATATAATCAGTTTTATCCCCTTTCTCTTTTTAAGCTTTATGTATTATTAAAGAAATAGAAGCTTGTTTTTTAGTTTCTTTCAGGCCTGTAATAGACTTCTCACTCTTAGGTATTGTCTGAGGTGTATTGAGGAGGCTGCTCCTCATTGCTTATGGCTGTTTCTGCACTCTGTTGCTCTAGCTTTGGCAGTCAGTGAGGCACAGGGAGAATGGATGCCCCTCTGAGGCAGTCACTTCTCTTTTCTGATGCAGTATTGAGTCATAAGACTACAATTTAAAGAAAAATCATACATTAAAGTACTTTTTAAATTAAATGCATGAGAATTAATGTTTTTTTTCCCCTAATTCTTTAGAGAGAACTGCTGACCAATTAAAATATTAGTATAAAAACATTCTTATTTTTTGGAAATAAAGGATTCTGTTCATAAAGTCCTATTAATTTAGTCTATTTGATTTTCAAAGGGGATATTTTGAGGTTTAGCAAGAGAATATACGAATAAAAAGCATTTCCCTCCTCAAATGTAAAAGATGAAAGAAAGTAAATGATAGTATTTTCAGTTTTTCTGAAAAGGAAACTGCCTACTATTGGTACTTCTCTAAAAGTTATACCAAGAAAAAAATAATTACTGTAATTTCAAGAGAATAGTGTGCATGTTTTTAGATTGCTATATGATTTCTTTTTCCTAAAGCCTTGTTTTCTTTTAGGTAGAAGAGCTCAGTAAAATACTCTATTGTGGGAGAAAGGAAGATAATAAGAAGTCTGATGTAGAAGTACAAACAGAGAACCACCCTCCTTGGTCAATCTCAGGTATTTAGTTGATATTGGAGATATCCTAACATTTACCACATTCAAATCATGCTAATATGTAATTTTCACTAAATTTAAAATAGACAAATGTCTAGATAAATATGAGGACTGTTACAAGGTTGTCTTCTCTCCATACGATTACATATTTCATTTTCAGATAATTGATTTGCTCTTCTGATGCGAAAGTAGAAATGCATTGTCATTCCTATAAATACACAGGATTACTCCTGTGTCTTTAGTGACACATTCACTGAGTAACTTCTGCCATGCTGTGAGCCATTTACTCTCATATCTGGTCTTCCATGCGACCAGGTGCATGTGTTTTCTTGTTGATGCATTCCACTTAATATTGTGTTCAGTGACAGTCTCTTAAGCCTTTGTGGGAATGGTGAGCCCACAACCATGACCTCATCAGTGGAATTATGTTGTGAGGCAAAATAACTGAGTAACTGAGTTGTAATAAATAGGGATCAAAAGTTATTTTTCCATTAAGTTTGTCTTATTTTATTCAGCATATAATTTAGTTAAATTGCTAAACACAGCAATAGCATTAATATTACATGTCTGCATGATAATATATTTTTTTAAAAGTCAGCATCATGAGAGATATTTGACAGAGAAATCAACCTTTGACATGTCTTTATTCCATTGATATTTGATATGCAATGATATTAACCTTTGTGGTTAGAAATTGTTAAGAGTTGCTAATTTTTTTTTGACAGAATACAACTTATTTACCTATTTTCTTTTTTAGTCTTGCTATGGAAAATACCAATCTGCTTACCTTTTTAAATTTTTTTAGCTTGACAGCTAGGGTACTTAAAGTGACATTAGAATCAAAGATAAAAGCATCTGCAGATTTATCTGCACTATCAATTTTAATCAATTAAAATGTGTACAACTATAAAAATATGGTTTGCAGTGTGTACTGTTTTGTTTCAGTGCCAATATTTTAGAATTCTAAGTCCTTTTTATATACACTATGCTAATATGTATCACAATTTGTTTTTGCTATAGATTATTATTATCAGACATACTATAAGGATCTTAGTCTTCCAAATAAAGTGACAGAACTTTCAGTTCAGCAAGATCAGGATATCGAAGCTTCTGCTTATAATTTTAAAGACCAGTCACAAATAGAAAATGATGTGTATGCAGGTACTGATGTAACGGAAAAGGTTGAATGTGAACAAGAGGACCATTTTGCCTTAAATTCACAGGTAATAAAATGCTACTACTACTGATGCCCAAGAACTTGTCCTTCATTATTATTATTATGCAAATTGACTTCTTTGGTCCATGACAACATACACAAGGGTTGTAAATATTCTGTGTATAATTATGCAGAATATTACACTTTTAGAGAAACAAAAATTGCTCATATATTTGTTTCCTACTTTGTTGTGTTCTAAAATCTTGTGATGTACATAAACTAAAACAGAAAATTTGTCTTATTTTGGCTCAATCAAAAAATTTTGTGCAACTACCACAGTAACTTTGTTCACAACAATTTTGTTTTTAAATTCTCATCCAAGGATATGTTTTTATTGATCTTTTTGAGAGAGAGAGAGAGAGAGAGAGGAACAGGGGGATGGAGGGGAAGGAGAGAAACATCAATGTGATAGAGAAACATCGATCAGTTGCCTCCCATCCATGCCGGACTGGGGACCGAACCCGCAACCTAGGTATGTGCCCTGACTGGGAATCAAACTCACCACCATTTTGTGTATGGGATGACATTCCAACCAACTGAGCCACCGGCCAGGGCTACACAAAAATTTTTTAATGCTTCCTCTCTGTCATATATCCTGCCACTGTTCAGATTTTTATAAGTTGGATGTTTTATAATTTTTTTCTGTAGTTGTGTGTTTGAGTCAGGATCCCAGTAAGGTTTATACAGTGCAACTGCTGAGGCTGTGATAAATCTCACATAATCCATAGCTTTCTCTGCCATCTCTCTTCTAAAATGTTTTTTCCCTTTGGACCTATGATTATGGAAGACTCTAGATAGTTTGTCTTAAAGTGTACTTCAGAATCCATATTTTGTGGATTACTTCCCTATGGTATTAGGTATTTATTTTTGAGTAATGGTCAGTGTTTTCAAAACAGTCAAAATTGAATTAATTGATAAATATTTTTTAAGTGAATCAAATTGTAATTGATAGCCATCCCTTCCATTGCAGAAATTGAAGCCTTATTATTTAAAATAGCTCTTAAGTCTATTTATTATTTCTAATTTTGCTAACTTTTAAGTTGCTATAAGAATATTTTTGTCTTATTTGACATGAATTTATCTTATCTAGGAGCCAGCATCTGCATTAGCAACAGAGGATGCATCCTTAGAAGGTTCATCATTAGCTGAAAGTTTGAGAGCTGCAGCAGAAGCTGCTGTATCACAGACGGGATTTAGTTATGATGAGAATACTGGACTGTATTTTGACCACAGCACTGGTTTCTATTATGATTCTGTAAGTATCTCAAACCTTTCAGTACTGTAATTGTATACTTAGATGCTTGATACCAAATATTAAACCCTAAACTGAACTAAGGAAAGCAAGAAGCTGCATTTAAAAATTATGTTTGATTCAAAGGTATTTGACAAGAGTAAAGAATTATAAAATAGCTTGTGATACTATACTTTTAGGTTTATAATTAAGTAAGTTAATTGTGATTATTATAAATTGATGTAATATAAAGGAATGTACAAAAATGTTGGAGTATTAATAAAGGCAGACAACTACATTATTGGAAAATTTTAAGAACCTACACTAACATTTTTTAATAGAATTTATAAGGAAGTGACGTTGTTAACTCTAGGCTTGGGGTGAGATTTGTTTGTTCGTTTCAGATTCTTACGAACCATTTGAGGCCACGGGGGGGGGGGGGGGGTT